ACTCCATGCTCTGGAGATAGCACTGTTTACATCTAATTACATTTCGTGCCCTCGTGTGATAATGTTCATCTTGGATTAGAGGGGATTAGTTGTTAATGACATTCCTGTACATACCAGTCCCCTCCAGGGCTTTGATTTCTGCTGAGGTTTTTCGTTCTGTGTTCAAATCAGCAAACTGCCCCTGGTTGTATTAACCATGGAAACAAAGATTTTTGGGTGGCTTAAACCAAAGCTGGATGGTACCTGGGTATGTCCCAGCCAAGCACAGGTGGAATGTAGGAATGCTGGAGGGCTCTGGCACAAACTTGGAACCACAGTGCTTATGTGCCTCAGCATCTTTAAACCTTCAGCAGGGCTGGGAGATGTGTGCTGGGCTCCAACGCGATGCTGTCAAGTTATTAAGTGCAAATCTCAGTTAATATTTAGCACTAGCCCAAATGGTGCAGATTACAGAATTCCAAAGCAAATGGAGTGAAAACTCATATGCTGGACAAAATACTACCGAGACAACATTCCCGGTGTCCCCACCACCACATCCCCAATCTGCTGCAGTTTTCTAAAGTGGCAGCCTCTGCAACCAGGTATAAAATATGCACCTGCAACAAATATTTGGTGGGAACAGGTCAACTGGGATCTCTGCAAAGTAGCCAAGGTCCTGCAGACCTCCCTAAGGCATGAAATGGGTGCTCAGCATGGCTGCATAGGGATGGCAGGCGAACCCTATCAGCAAGTGTTGCTGGGACTGAGTGAAACACGTAGCAAAGTGCCAGGAGGAGATTGCCTTCCCTGACACTGCAGCTGGGAGCAGAGGCTCACGGCCTTACCTTGGCAAGGCAGCAGCATCCGTCTGAGGGGGAAGATGCCTACATCAAGGTAGGCCACGTCACATCAGAAACTGAAAATATCAGATGGGATTTTTTGGAGAATGCTTTACATCAGTAAGCTGAGGGTATAGCAGCTCTGGAAAGCGAGTGGCAGGAGAGTGAATTTTCACTGAAAAAAGGAGAACCCAGAACAACAAGATTATAAAGAAAAGAAGTTTGGATCAGCACCAGAAATTGGAGGCATTTGCTAGAAGCTAACCTGTAGCACAACAAGCACCAGGAAGATACAAAGCAGGATTCTGGGGTCATGGAAGCCACCAGGGTGGCTCCCTCCTCCGTTTTTGGCTATCCATTTTAAATAGGGGTGGTTGTGGAAGTGTTGACAAACAAGTGCCATGAATGGGCCCTTCCAGCTGCGTTTAGGGCACAGCAGGGCCAAAAGCTGCCTGGGGCTGCAGGTACCTCCCTGCAGGAAAAAGCAGGAAAAAACTGGTGGGGAGTGGAGAGCAGTGGGAGCAGATTAAGAAAGCAGCTCCTATTTATAGAACAACAGCAAGAAACTGCCCCAACAGCAGGGCTGCTGCGTAACCCTTCCAGTACTGAGCATCAATGCAGCAGGCTCAGCTGATGCCAGGCATGGACAAAGCAGAGGAGATGCTGCACTGGAGTGCCCTGCAGGACAGGGGCAGGAGACTGGGCCTTACCAGGGCTCTCCCCAGAAAGGAGCACAGTGACCAAGGGCTGTGCTTCTTCAGGAACAGAGGAGGGATCAGGGTGTAACTGGATCACTGGGACAGAGGACTGCTTCTAGAAGAGACCATCCCAATGGTGGCTGGGGCAAGGAGCATGCAGCTCTCAGCACAGGGAACTTCCCCCCGAGGACCCCATAGATATAGGTCTCAGCCCGCTGCTGCCTCTTCCCAGCAAGATGTTCCAGCTGTTCTCCCACTAGCTTGTGATAATAGCTGTTTTTACAAGATTTTCTTTACTTCTTAATTGATCTAAATCCTTTCCCTTGGCTTTCTTGTTAAAGGTGGATTTAAAGAGGAGTTCATTATCTCAGCCATTTTTGAGCTGTTATTAATTTCATCCCTCTCCTCATTAATTACTCGTTACCCCTCTCTACACCCCGTAATCCCCCCGGTCCCATGTCAGCTCATTCTGGTTCTCGCTGCCCTCACACTCCCTTGGCTGCTCCCAGGCGATGTTTTTCCTTCTCCTGCTCCTGAGCAGTTCCTTCCTGCTGCTCCTTGTCTTGCTCACATGTGGCACTGAGCTCCCGGCCCAAGGAGATGGGTTCACTCTTGGTATGCTTTCCCAGCAGCTTTAAGCCCAAACATCTTATTCTTTAACTGGAGAAAATGAAGATGGGGCCCTTAGTCCAGATGTGCTTAGCAGCTCCTCGGTATATCCCCTATAGCAGGGATATGGTTGCATGGTGCCAGGCTGCAGGGAGACCAGCTGACAGAGCCTGCAGGGCAGGGCGAGATATGCCAGGATCACACTCTCAGCCTTTTCACTGACAGCAGCAACTTTGCAGCGCACGAGCACCCCCAGCATGAGCACCCCCAGCATGAGCACCCCCAGCAGCAGTCAACCCTCATCCCCCATCTGTGAAGCAGTCAAGTAGTTTAGGGCTACAGGGCGCTTTGCACATGAGAGCTGCAAGAGATTCTCTGAGAATGTTTGGTGAACAAACATCCCATTGTCAAAGCGCTGCCGTCCTCCTCCACAACACGCTTTGGCATGTGCAGGAGTCAAGGACAGGAACCAAGAAGCAAAGTGAGATTATGTTCTTCTGCTCCTTGCTGCAGGACGCTCCAGTTGGGCTCCTCACTTGCTGCAGCTGCATCTCACAGAGCCACGGCTCCATCTTAGCATTCACTCTGAGTGACAGATCAAGGAGCCAGTGGAAGCCAGGCGTGGTACACAGATGCTCTGCATCTGCAGGGTGGTCCCCTGCTAAGCCCTCCCAAGAGGGTTTTCCAAGGACTGACCCTTTAAGCATTGTTAGTGACATCCAACTGTCCAGGCTGCTCATCTCAAACATTTGTGATGCCTCAGCCTTCAGAGCTTTTCCAAAGCCCCCACAACTCTATGGCAAAATTAAGCCCACATCCAGAGCTTTACAAGACACAGACAGGAGCGCTCTGTCATCTGTCCCCTTTCTAAGAGCCACAGATGCCTGGCCATGCAGTCCCATGGCTGCTCCATCAGGACAGAGCTCCATCTCCAAGATGTGCCAAGTCCCCACTCCCAGAGCTGCAGTCCGGTCCCTGTTCCTGCACACAACACAGGAGGTCCATCTGCACGAGGCAGCAGCAGCCCTTTGCCAAAAGGTTCAGTGTATTTTTCAACATAGAGAGCGAATCCTTGAGAAGCAAAAGGTTCACAGAGCGCAAAACTTTTACAAGCAAAGGCTGCTGGAGTGGGAGATGTGCTGGACAACGCACCTCCATTAATGCTCCTCTCCTGAAAACAAACCCAAGTTCTACTTGCTCTAGGGCAAACTCAAAAGGTTTTATTTTATTTATTTTTTTTTTTTTTTAGCAAATTCTATCACGTAAATGTTAACAAAAAACATCTGTACAATTGCCATGATACACTCAAAAGTGAAACAAACAAGATATAAATACAGATATGGATGAAACATGACAAAAGCGGAAAAAAACAGAAAAAAATACATGCGCATGAACACGGTGCCAACAAAGTCATTTCTCAAGGCTGGCGTTTTTAGAGAGGTTTTAATTCCCATTTCAAACATTGTTAGCAACATTGTTCTGCTGTATTCTACAAAGGTCTATTTTCCTGTCCCTTAGCATGTAATATTATGCTTGATAAATAAAGGGGTGGGGAGAAAAGGTTCGGATGACAAAGATGTGAGTTAGGTTACTTATAGAGGTTATTGGAAAGCTAGTAGTAAGCGATAAAAAAACAGTCTCGTATTGTAATCCAGGCAAGCACACATAGTGTACCTTAAGAAAGCCACATGCCTCAATAATTCTGCACTACATGAGAACTACGGTACGCAGACCAGGGGGCAGATGGATCCATATTCGCCCATGCCCACGGAGCACCGGCGCAGCCAATGGCAGAAAAACACATCCGCATCTGAGATATTTCTGCAACCTTGCAGCCAGGAGCCGCTCGCTGTCTGCTGAGAGTTCTCTCCCATTCAGACTTAAAGCATGGTGGGCAAGGAAAAAAGAAAAACACTTTTTTTTTTTTTTTTAAAGTATGAAAAGTTGAAGCCCTGCATAATGGGCAGCAAGGAAAAAAAGGCAGCTGCAGTAGATGGCTACTGCTGGGAGAGGGTGAACACAAGCTTCACCGGTGCGGTGAGGCACTGCCCGCATGCAGATCGTTCTCTGCAAACATGCGTGGACACTGCGGTCTGTAGCCAGAGAGACCTTTATGCTTGCTGAAGAGAGAACAAAACGATTGTACAGCTGTTTGAAGTCAGAATGCTGAGATCAGAGAGGTGACATTCAGAGCTAGCCCTTTGAGTACTTCAAAGGAAAAAAAAGATCATGTTCAACATACTAAACGACCCTACTATGTACATTATACGCAATGTTTTATAAATACCTAAGCAGAATGCCCCCTACTGTATACAGGTATAACATACTTCTAGAGTACTCAAAGGATGAACAGTCCTCGACTGACTCACGTAATGAAAGAAAGGAACACAATGAGCATCTGTTGACAAACAGAACGGCATCTGATTACGAAAGTAAGGCCTGGTTCTACTATTCTGCAGCCCCACGTGTGCCAATGGTATCTGAGAAACAGGTGTTCACCTCTGCAGCCACAGAGCACAGCAGATTTCACACCTATTCCCATAGGACGAGCTGTTAACTCCTTCTTTAGTGTCAGCACAGGCGCCAGGGTCAGTTCAGGGACATTACAGTGCGTTCACTCTCAGTGCATACTAACAGGACTTTATAAAACACAAAATCATTTGAGAAGGAATTCAATTCCTGGAGGTTTGCTACAGTGTGCCATTCAAAAAAAACCTAAACAAAACAAAACAAAAACCCCAAAAAGCTCCATCACAGCTGGGAGGAACTAAGCGCCATGTGGTCAGCTATGCTGACTGCTGTACCCCAGGACTGGAACAGAAGATGGTGAACTGAGATGGGGAGAAAGAGAGGCATAAATAGTAAGCAGTTAGAGTAAAAATTGGGAAAAAAAAAAAAAAAAAAAGGAAAAAAAACCCAAACTCACTACTAAAATTCAAACAAGACAGCTAACTGCTGCCAACGAGTTGGCTGAACATTTCCCCAAAAGGGAAAATAAATTCACATTAAACTAAAATAATTTGAATCATTCAAAAAAATTAAAAACAACAACAACAAAAAAAAAAACAAAAAAAAAAAACACACAAAACTCTAACAAGCATACTGAAAGGTGTTGAAAAGGAATGGTCCACGGACAGGGAGACACCAACCATGGAGCAGCCAATCCTCTCCCAAGCAAGGATGGCTCTTCTGAGCCAGCAGAGAGGGCCTGGAGGAATCCCACTACCAGACCACGGGTTTCCCCTCCTGCCACAGCACTGGGGAGCATAAGGGATCAGCCCTGCAGCCAGCCCAAGCCTGAACTCATCCCAATGACCTCAGGAGCAGGTCACCTCTGCTCCCACGGCAGCCAGGTGAGAGGCTGGGAAAGCCCCACAAACCTCAGCCCTTCTGGAGCTGCACCAGTCAGCACCTTCCAGCACAACTCCTCATTGCTGGGGCTGAGCTACAGGAGCGCAAACTGATGGAGAGGGAGGGCCGCAAGGCTTTATCCTCTTTACTGTGCTTCCCTGCTGCAGTTCTGGCAATGCTCGCATGCTGCCACTGAGTCTGCTACCAAGGTGTCCCTTCAGCTCCTCAAAGGGGAAATGAAGGGGGCTGCAGAGAGACCAAGGCACTGAGAGCAGCCTGGGAACACACACTGCAGGTCCATCACCCTCCTGCAATCACTGTCACTGGGGGAAAAAACCCAGTTCTCATCCATGGCAGGTTGGGGTGGGCCTGTCTGTCAGCCAGGATCCAGCCTAGGGCCAAACGCAGCACAAGCATCCTCCTGCTCCCCCCAGTCACAGGCCGCAGGCACTCAGCCACTGCCAACAGAAGCTTGGAGCAGGACGGTGCTTTGGGGTACCTGCTGCTGCTGGTTTGGCTCTTACCTGGTCTGTGTCACAGTCTAGCACATCCCTCCAAAATGCAAAGCACCCAGCAGGGTTGTGCGTGGGAAGAAGGAGGCTTCTAAAGGCAGAAGACAGCACTGCAGGCTCTTCGGGCACAAGACAGGAACAGCAGCAGGTGAGCAGCACTATCCCAGCCAACCCTTAGCTTCCACAGGGTTGTTTTGTCCAGCTTCAGATTCCCTTTCTGTCCTCTTGGATGAACAGTCTGCCCAAAGCACACTGGATTTGTGTGGATAAAGCCATTTACCACCAACATCAATGGGTCCCGGTTAAAGTGGCAGATCAATCCTTTGACGCTACAGACTTCAGGAAGAACTCAGCCAGCCTCACAAGGCAGCACTGCAATACAGCCTTGGCAGCTCTGACTGTCCACCCAAGGATGCACCCAAGCCCAATCCAACACCCACTGTGCTCATGTCCAAACGCAGGCACCAGTCTCAGAACAGCATCTGAGGTTCCCTTTGGGGAGTAACAAGTAACCTGAAGAGTCTCGAGCACATGAAAGAGCCAAATGGGTTGGAAGAGGGGAAATATTTACAGTCAACGAAGGTAGCGAGAGCCCAGTTGCTCTACAAAGCACAGCTGGCTGGAGAGCAGTTAGAGAGATCAGCCATCAGAGGTCTGTCAGAAGAACTATATACAGAAAACTCAGATATTTAAAAAGAACCTACTTTTTCATTACTCACTTGATATCTCAGTATTAAAGCATTAGAGGCTGGAACCACAGCCACATCAGCAAAGACCTCCTCGTGGAGAACCCTGCACATTAGGCAAGCTGCGATAGGAAGTACAAAACAGGACCACAGGACTTGTAAGAGGAGATCCTAGCCAGAAAGGCTGCGGCCACAGGGAAAGAGCAGTAACTAGCGCACAGAAACCAAAACTGGGTATGAACTAAACCAAGATTTGTTTAACTTTTACGCATATCCAGGTTTTTTGACTCTTTTGGAATGCTAACCTAAACATATTTCCAAGATTTCAGCAGGCTATACAATATGTTTAAGTATGGCTTTCTGTTGTTCACTTTTAATGAAGACTGCAACACAGACCTTGCTTCCTTTACATTCAATACCAGTAAGGTTTTACATGAAAGCTTTAAGGGACTAGAATACTGATTGCAATAAATATCTGCATGGCCTCCTTTAGCTGATGAAGTGCGCCAGTGAAGAGTAGCAGAAAGGTCTCTGAGAGGCACCGTTGATTGCTTCTAAGTCTACACATATGTCCACATATCTCCATTAACTGTGCGTTGAAACATCTGAAGAGGAGCTGCTGTTGCTGTTGGTAGTTTGGGCCCTCTTTATGTACAAGTTTAGTAGCTTCATCTGAAAGAAACAACAAACATCAGGAGAAGATGCCAGGAAAAACAGATGGACAAAAACTGACTGTGAGTCTTAACTACAGATTCAGTGAGCACTGTTAGAGCAAGTCAGCACCAGGCATTTCAGAACATGCAGAACCAGGAGAGGAAGCCTGGTCCAACTTAGTTTTAATTTAATAATATTTAAACTGTATGTAAAAAAACAGTTGTGTTTCACTTCAGCAGTCATCAATTCACAGCCCTCAGCTCTGCAGATTGTTCTTGGTGAGCAGGATTCCCACAAAGGTCAGTGGGGCTGCAGACAGGTACGAATTCGCTCACACTGCGGTAATCCAAGAGCTGTGGTCCCTCCTAGGAAACAGCCTGAACTCACTATGCTTGGAGAAGAGAGGCGAGATGGGCTTTGTTTTTCACAAAACATTCATTTTTAATGATATTTAAGTATCTTCACTACTTGGTTCCTCTAGTGAAACTGCAGCTGTTATGACTACGCACTTCCTTTGCAAGGGTTTGCTTTCTTATTCTGCCTTACCACCTTAGGCCCAGATCCTGAAATAATGACTCATGCACGTATTTAACTTTAAACACGTAGGCAGCCTGCATAAACTCGGAAGAATTACTCACATGTTTACAGTTAGTTATGTGGTGGAGTATATCCATGGCACCCAGGATACTGGGATTATAAAGCCCCTACAATGTTTTATAGAGGAATCTCCCAACCACCCAAACATAAATGAGGTAAGTCTCAGCATTCACAGCTCTTTTTCCAGAGCAAATGGGAGGTGAAAGTAACTTAAGGACACAACCCAGAAATAAAGTCCAAGTGTCTTAAATCTCAGTTCTGTTTCAGCCTAAACCACGCTTCCTACCCATTAAAGAAACCACTGGTTCAAAACATCCAGACGAAGCCCTCTGAACTAAGTAGCTTTTCACATTCAGAGACAACAATGCAGAATTGATCTTAAAATGGCAAAGAAATCTCAGGTATTATGACTTTAATCGGGAGAAGCCTTGTGACAGCTTCCTGAATGCCAGCTTTTGTCTGAAGGACAGAGCTGAACTGAAGTCTGACTTCATCTGCAGCATCAGGTTAGAATTCAAGTTTTGCTTCTAACATAAGCATGGGTAGAAAAGTGTTTGAAAAGTCATTCAAATTTGCCGGTGTCCAAGAAGAAAAGGACACATCTGCAATGCTATTAAGAGCAAAGCTCCACCTGCTTTTCTATCAGCCCTAATTATGACCTGCTGCTGAAAGGAGCAGTCTTGCTCTCCCACCCATCCCAACCATGTATTCTCACCACTCTTCACATTAGATTAACTGTCAAGCCATAGAGTGAGCTACAAACAATTTAATATTCCAGATTTGTTTTTTTTTTTTTTTTTAAACAAGTGAAGCCAGCTGATGCAACTGACTGCATTTTCACCTAACAATGCAGTGCAGAAGAGCTAAGGAAAGCATGACTGTCATGGGAATGACCAGCTCAGTAGCAGCTTGCAGTTGCACAGGATCAAATGCATCAAGAAATCAATCCCTGAATCCCCTTCAAAAATTGCTCTGCAGGGTCCGAAATGCTCACATTGCTGGACAAGATCTGTTGCTCTAGTGGTGTTGGAAGGACCAGTTAGTCTAACACATTAGGGTTTAACACAGTACAGGGAATTTGACCCAGAGCTAGCATGAATGCATTGGCTGTTGTCATAGTACCAAAGGCATTATACTCCCATACCTTGCTTCCTGTGAGTTGTGCGAGATGAGGTTTCAGTTCTTCACCAATTACTGAATAAATTGCCACCAGACAAAATACACTAGCTTTACGGACACTGCTCTCGGTATTATCATAACCCTAGGAAACAAGAAAAATGGTCACAAACAGCACACACCAACATCCTTACCAATCAATACACTGAAGAGTAGTTTAGGCTACCAGATTAATAGAAAGGCTCTGGCAATATGAACACTCAAAGAGCAAGAGAATACAGCGTATCCAGCACATTCTATTTATTCTATATAATATCCTTTCTGTAATGTCCTCATATTAGGCTATGAATTTATAAGTTATTAATGTCTTAGGTTTTATGTCATTAAGGAAGAACAGTTTCCAATCAGGCAGATTCTATCAGTTATGCACATTCCCGTGTCCAGTTCAGATGACCTTATGTCATGTGATCATCAGGACATCTTGGACACAGTGCTCTTAGTGTGCCCACAGGTAAGTCTTTCCTGACCCAAACCCAACCACCTAAAGGAAATAGGTGAGCAAAAGACAGATGAAATTTTCAGCAAAATGGCCTAATGGTTATATCATTTAGAATATGAAAAACAAAACATTGTTTGGTGAATAGATGTTCTATCCAGATAAGCATTTGGATAGAATAACTGTACTCAAGCACTCAAAATTGCAGAAGTCATCATCATTATGGATTATTCTTTTGCTGGGAAAGCCATGAGGAGTGATGCTACAGGGCTGGGGCTGCTCACTAGCAGGGCTAATGTTCTAGCTGCAAGGCCAAAATGCAGTCTGACATTACAGCCTGCAAACTCAAAGAGCACTACATCCCAAAGAGCAGGAGTTGGTCTGGATGCAGCTGTGAAGTTAAAGGCCAGAGTCACACACAAAAACTATCTTTGTCAGCACACCAGCTATTTGTTGGGATGCCTCATTTTCTACAGCACAGCAAGGCCTCTACTGCAGGCATATCAGTGTCCCATCTTTACCCTCACCAGGCAGCCTAACCACCGCTAACACAGCCAGGCCTCTTCTTGCTCTCCTCCATTAACGGTGCATTCCTTTCTCTAAACAATCAGGGCCTGCTTCAACAGGAGATGTGGACAGTGCCTCATCCCACAGCAGCCCTGGTATGTGGCTAGGGCATGTCTTTGTGGAAGGAGCAGGAGTGCTGTGACTCTGCTAGCCTCAGATCACTGTGACAGCTACACCCATCTCCATGCATACGAGGGCCTGCCAGGTTGGGCTTTGTCTCTCACCAGTAGGAGACGCCTATGGGCTGCTCCCCCTGCAGCATGGGACCCAAAAGAACAACAACTGAGACTGAGGAACTGCAAGCACTCCCCACCAAACCCCTCTAAGAGCTCTGCACTGCAATTTGCACCCAAACCCAGGTGCTCGACAGAAGCACAGCCAAGACTGTTTTATGTACTGAGATCCCTATCTGTTCACATGGGCCATGGGCATCCTGCTGTGGGGTGCTGAGCTGTACACTTGTATTCGCATAAGCACTGTTGGACACACCTTGCCTGTTCACCACTGCTGTTACCCTCACCAAGATAAACAGCCACAGTACATATCCCTACATACTTTCTAAATATGAGAAGTAGATTCCTTTGATCATTATGATTCCTCATTCAAGGAAATAACACTGGCAGCCCCAAGGTGAAAAATCACAAAGACACAGAAGCCATTTAATAAAGCAAATATATCTTTTTGTGCTTTTAAAGGCATGATGTTCCCAAGCACTTCCACTGCATTGAAGCTCCCTTGTCTAGGTTGTTGTCACCAACAACAATGGCTAAAAACTTCTTAAAACAAAAGTTCACATCAATACAGAATTGCCTGATTCCCAGAGTTTAAGAAAAGAACTGCAAAAGCTTATGTGACAAAGCTGGACAAACACTAGGATGCATCGGGGAAAATCCTGACTTTGCCCTTGTCCTTCTGCTCACAAAAAGGATGCTTCTTTATCCTAATTCTCCACTGAAGTTTTACTCGCCTACAGGTATGAACTCTTTCACAAGCACCAATTTGTTCTTGCCACAATCCCCTCCCCCCCAGTAAACACACTGGTTCACTCCTTTGTTATTTTCATCATGCTTTGTCTCACTCCAAAAGCTTAGTCCTGCCAGCTGCTTGTGCAAGGGGACTGAATACAACCCCACTACGGCCAGCACTGAAAGATAAATTCACAATGTAAGATCAAGTCTTAGTGCTGGCAAAAACACAGCTCCCCACCCAGGGTTATGAAAGAGACTGAGCATTTAGTCTTAATTTCAGAGAGAAAATAGTCCTTCCTGTCTGTCCTGCTGTGCTCCAAATTCATGCGCAAAGTACACTCAAAGTACAGAACATCTCAGTGTTCGTTTGTGCTCAACGAGCATTTGTGATGTGAGATTCTATACCTGTAACAATCCAGGAATAATATCAGGAAGGAGTTGATGCAATGATTCCTTGGAAATCCTCTCAATGACCTTTGTCTGCATCTTGATGGCAGCTAAATTAATTGGATAATCTGCTGTCTGAATGATGGGGCAAAGCACCTTGATGCATTGCTCAGGATGGATGGAGCCTGCCAGGGTAGAAGCAGCTTCCTCAGCGGCTCTGACGACCTGAAAGGAAAGCAGAGCAAAACCTTGCATTAATGAGGCTGCACAGCCAAAAACACCTGTGCATATTAGGAATGAATGCCAGGAAATACTTGGGGATGTTTATTAATAAAACAGCAAGAGGCTCGTCTGAGAGGAGATCAAGTATAAGAATTCACGTTCTTTACCTCCAGAGACATGTTTGTTCCAGCCAGACAGTGGTACACAGTTCCTCCTGCCTGAAGTAACCATGTCAAAGTTTGAGAGTCATCCACCACCCAAGACAGACAGGCACTGCTGCCCTGTTAGGTCAGCACTCTAGCCACTGTCAGGGAACATAAACCCATCAGCTTAAACTTAATACGAAATACAATTGCTTAATACTACAATGAGTGACGTTGTGCTTTTTAATATGCATCTGCCTTGCTGAATGCTTGGGTGTCCAAGCTAAGAAAACCAAGCCTGCACACGTGTGTCCTGCCAAGTCCCAGCTAAGCACTGCTGTGCTCAAATCCAGGCTATGGAGCCAAGCAAGATTCAGGATAATCTATAACCAGGCAACAGTGCTCTGAGCATATTTAATACATGAAGGCAGTGCTGGGACACTATAAAACATGAGAGGAAGAACAAGTGGAAACAGTGGCAGCACCCACCTTTAGTAGCTACTTCACACAGTAAAGCAGACACACAGGATGAGAGAGGTCCTAAACTCAGTACTACCCTTCACCCAGGAAAGGGAAATCCACAGATTTCACACTATTCCCCAGTGGATAGGACAGTTAGAGGAAAGAGGAAGGACCTGATTTTCTTCTCCTATGAGAGTTTATTTTACATTCTGCAGTAATTGGATTAAAAAAAAAAAAAATAAAATCACAGGATGGGAAACAAGTTTTCTTTCTTCAAGTGTATGTGCCAATTGCCAGGCAACAAACTCAAGGAAAATGTGTCCCAGACAATAAGGAAAAAAAAAAAGACACCAAAACAAGTGAAGCCACAGGTCAATCACTTAGACTGAAGCCGTGACTACTGAATTCTCTTCAACCCCTTCTTCCACACAAAATGGAATCAAACTTGGGGGTTTCTCTTTGACTCAGGCAACTCATAAACAGATACAGCTCTATCAAAGCCCCAAAAGATGAACTTTTGAAAGGAACTAATGTGGATAACGTATGTAGCAGGAGTATTTGGAAGTTTATCCTAGTCCTCACTAGGACAACAATTTCTCTCTGCCTGGACTACAAAACATTTTTCAGAAAGGACTAATTGATTTCAAGACAGAAGCAATGAAGAATGACCAGCTCAGATAGACTACTGATTTAACAGAAGAGATTATCCCCATCTACAAAACCTGCTTCACCTACAGCTTTAACTCATCATGGCTACAACACAGTGACTGATCCTCTACTCGTGTTGACAGCTGCTTCCCTGAAACAGGTATGGCCAAAGGTTACTTGTGCACCTGAGGAACATCCAACAATAAAAGTGATTTTAGATGGTTCACGTGGTACAAACATTGTATTTAGGCAAGGCACAGGCAGGAGCCAATCTGAGACTCTGATTGCTGAAGTTGTCCACACACTCATCTATCTCAGGCCTTTCTCAGCAATTAAACAGTGTTAAAACACATTCCAAAAATGGCAATCCACAATGTGGTCAGCATTCAAAAGATTTCATCCTGCACGATCTGTGAATGAGTAACCAAGCAGAACAGAATGCTTGTTTAGCTCTTCCAGATATTTCTTTGCTAATTCCCTTTTCAATTTCACACATGAGAAGCATGAAAGTTAACATTTTTCCATGCTAGCTAGCTTAGGAGGAAGTACTATTTTTTGAGAGGGAGGGGAAGAGAGAAATACCCAAATACTCAAGGAAACCTAATGCCAAGGTTTGGTACTGTGCACTGAATTGCCAGAATGGCTGCAGTCAGGGGCTCTCAAAAGGTCTCCGTGGAATGTAAGAAGGTTTCTTCAAAGAAATTCACTTCTTGGCACTGCAACTTTTGATGATGTCTCTCCTAGCACTGAAATACTGCTGACATCAAGCTCTCTACAAATAACAGTGCAATTACAGAGGGTATGAATACCTCATAATCAGCCCAACGACATTCACAGGCAAGTCATTTTAGCTAAATAAACATACAGATATATATTTATTAAAAGCTTTGTAACTGACCAGACACTGGCCACTTGGAATTTTGCCTTTTAGCAACTCCAAATGCTTTTTGTAAAAGGAAAACTTAGACATACATTACACACATTATCACAAATTACTAAAAAAATTTTTTTTTTCTTTTTTTTTTTTTTCTTTCCTTCTTCAGATCCTCGTGGGTCCAGAGAGGTTGTGGATGCCTCATCCCTGGAGGTGTTCAAGGCCAGATTGGATGGGGCCCTGGACAGCCTGGTCTAGTACCAAATGTGAGGGTTGGTGGCCCTGCATGTGGCAGGGGGTTGGAGATTCATGATCCTTGAGGTCCCTACCAACCCTGGCCATTCTGTGATTCTGTGATTTTACAAGTAATAGCATCTTAGTGTACTTACATAGTATGTATGTATGTAGTATATACTTACAGACGGACTTCACCTAATACACTTCAGTAAATTTGGATTAGGTAAAAATTTCAGTGAGTAACTCTGAGACAGAGCTCTACAACTACTGGCACAGTTATGAGGAGAGTGCATGAGACAAAAACCTTTGTTTTAAAAGCTTATTATTATTTCAAGCACCAAGGCTTGAAATACAGCTGCAATTCTTCACAAAATGAGCCAGGAGTCAAAGTACAAAGAAGGTCCCGTGTATTTTGCACATCATAGGGTAGGCTAGAAAAACTGTATAGACATAAGTAGTCTTGCACCTTCACAAGTCCTCCTTTCAACAAAGCTGGCCATTTCTAGCACGCATCTGGCTGTGTTTGCACAGCAGTTGGGTATTTCACATCACTTCTCCATGCAGTGCGCATCCTTTGAATACAGAAGGGCAAATTACTCATGTCCAGAAGGCTTCCTGCTGATACTAGCTTGTAAACGTGACAACACCAGAGACATTTCCAAGTCTTTCAAGAGCACATCTGGCAGACAGCATCTGCATCCAAGCCACACTTCACATACCCCTTAAGCGTATATTTGGCTTCAATAACATGCTTGAATCTTACTGACGTCAATGGGACTCAAGCGTGTGCTTACATGCTTGCTTGATTCAGAAGCTCTGCAGGTAACTAGCTGCCATGCAAAGGAACAGCAGGAAACAGGGTGCAGATGAAGGTGCAGGGCAGTACCAGCTGTGGGAGAACCCAGAGGACAAGCCCTTTCCTCCATCTCCACTGACATAGAAAGTCCAAACGCCACCACTCTGCAATGCAAATAGCAGTCCTGCCCTGAAGGTCTTTGATTCTGGCTTTGGCAGAGTAAAGCATTTAGCCATCCGGACCAACTGTGCAACCCATGAGGGAAAGCTTGTCTCTGAATACTTGCACAGCCCTGCCAGAGCTGCATCCCCAGTAATGCCAAAGAAAGGCAGCAACATTCCTGCAGTGAGGGAAACGCATTATCAAAAGCTATGAACTGCCAGGTTGTTTGGCATAGAGGATATGCAATTATAGCTGAGTTTAGTGAAGATATTTTGCCGTGAGGCATAACAACCATGTCTTGCAAATTATACATAACGTACAATATAAAAAGTCAAATATCTTTTTAAATCAGGGTTTTAATCTGACCAGAGTAAAACAAACTTAAAAAAGAGTGGAAGAAATGAGCAAACATCAAACAACAGCTCTTCCCATCTTTGGGGGGAAGATTGGAAGATAAGACACTGCGGAAGCAATAGGAATGGCCCCACTAGGTTCAAGCTACCAGCAGACACCACAATCACTATATCCATAAAATGCACACTCTTTAAATGTGGGGAAAAAAAAGTGCTGTTCACTACATGCTCAGATTGAGGAGCTCACTGTCATAGAAGGATGCAGATAATAGATTAAAAAAAAATTATAAGGTCACTGAAGAGCCATTAAAGGTAAGCAGACAGAACTTTCAGCTTGGGCCAGGGGGGTTGGAGATTCATGATCCCTGAGATCCCTTCCAACTCTGGCCATTTTGTGATTCTGTGACAGGGAGGGAGGAAGTCTTTGATGAAAAAATCACTGCATGCTTGCTAGTCACTGTCTAAAGTAGGATATGGAGCAGAGTTTTTGTCTAACCTAATGCAATTATGTTCAATTATTTCAAAAACACAGAAGAAAACTACTGGAGTGTTCAAATGATGATAACAGCTGGAAGAAAGAAGTTCAAAAGGGTGCCTATGACGCAAGATCTGTAAGACCAGGGAGAGCCTGCAGTGCTTTAAAAATACTGACACTAAGCTGTGTGTAAGGTATGTCACAAACATGACTTTACCTCTAGTAAAAGCTTAAAGCAAACCATGTCTGGAACTGGATAGTTTGATGCCATTCAACACAAGGCAGGTAGACCAGGAATGCAGATCTAAACGATAGCATTTTGCCTTAAAGAAGCAGGTTTTTCTCCTTTCCAAAGGCTTACCTTTTGCTCTACACACTAGAGACTAGATTGAGCCTCACTTCTGCTGGCATAACATAAGCTGTTTCCTAGTGGGCTCATTGAACAAATAACATGCCCGCTTCATAGGCTATGCAGGGCATCAGTGTAACACGTTGAGATCTGAGTAGAGCAGCACCCATATACCTAGATGAGAGCTGTATGGGAGTACATATTACACTGCAAGCTGGAGTACAAATACTAGCTGCACCACCTCTATAAAACACATGGAATTAAGGAGTGCATGTTTTTGTTGTTGTTTTTAAGAGAAAAAGATAAAACACTCAAAAACCTTAAGAGGCTTTTTACTCCACTGTGAAACAAGTAAAGCACCAGAATTAGTTACTAGGCAGAAAAACAAGGTTTTGCTTTTGGGCTTACAAAGCACACAACTTTGTTTTTAGAACCAACTTTTGGCATTTAGAGGTGGTTACTTAAAGCCTGCACAATGTAACTTGGAGGGAATGGAGGCTTACCGCTGCCTAGCCAGGCAAACTCCCATCCCTGAAGGGTATACAGTCTAATCCAGACAGGAACAAACAATTAAGCACTGAGTTTCAAAGCAGGAAGTGGACTCAGCAATGGGGAGCGCTAAGCAGATGAAAAAAATTAAGGGATTGAGAGGAGGTGAAGTAGATTAGATTGCTTCTCCTGGGTGCTAAATATTTCACGTGTCGGGAATTAGAGCAAGCACAGAAACGTATACAATAAAACATCAACTGCCCAACTGCAGTGCTCGGCAGCTTCCAGCATGGGCTACCAGTTAACTAACCTTAAAGACTGATCACTGTGCATTTTTCTCTAGTAGGCTATGTTGTACTGAAAGTGACACAGAGTGTATCATCACTGGAGGACATTTGCAAATAATCTTATAAATGTCAAGGGTCAGTCTAAAAGCACCTCAAGCCAGTAACAATTAAAGTTAATGGATAGCCGTGATTTGCTCTTTTCACCTTCCTTTAGATCATTACAACAAGGAGTGTTACATCCTAATTATGCCTGTGGATTTCCTGGATAGTAAAAGACCAAAGTTAGGTACCTCATACATGGCTCAAAGTCTTTTCCTTAAACTGAGAAAGTACCAACCAGCTATGTCTACAGGTTTTGCTGCAGAGAAAAAGAGAGCAGCAGAAACAAAGCAAAGCATGAGCTGTCCAATGATTAGCAATGGCGAAGATGTTCCTTAACATTTTAACAAGATTTCTACTTTACTACAGTAAAGAATAAGAACTTATGCTCATTTTGCTGCTATGAATCTGTAGCAATGTCATATCAATGGTACTGGGTCAGCACACAGCATCTCTCCTTAGTTATGGGTGAGTAAGTACACTGGAACAAATGAGTTAATATTAACCAATTGGCAACAGAAAGACAGCTCTTTTCCAAGTAACTCCAAACAAAGAGTGATAAAAATCAACAAGATTTAATACCATCCACAACTTCAATTACATTCTAATGCTCTAAAAGTAAGTGAAAGGCATTTACATGTCAACTCCCGTAAATATTTACAGTTCTGACTGAAGCAGGCTTGACTTTTCTCATCATCCCATTTAATTAACAGTACTGTGCAGACTATTATACAACAAACAGAGTAAAAAGAGGCTAGCATTAAAAAGTGCAAACTAAACATGAATCCCAAGTCAGAGTCTCCTAGTCTGTAGCCCAGGGTTATGTTAATTTTGGACCTGCACCGAGGTCAGTGCTTTGCTGATTTTTACTTGCACCCACACGACAACTCTCAGCATCCACTCATACCAAATTTTCTTCTCTGGTGTCCCTTAGTTGTGCTGCTTCATTGATGCTACACTTTGCCTTCAACAACAGAAGGCCGAAGAGTTCTCGCCACAGCAAAGATTCAAGCATTGAAAGGCTTCAGCTTGATTTGGCAAAACACATTCAGGCATCCAAATACATCCAACCATGCTAACATAACATCGATGCTTCCAGCTATAATAAAACCACAGCCCCTTTTGTTTCAGACACTCTTTTAGCTAGATACTGGCACTCAAATGGAGGAAGATACGGTATTTCACAGGATTGTAGGGGCTGAAGGGGTCCCATGGAGATCATTTATGTCCAAACCTCCAGCTAAAGCAGGTTCCCTAGGTGCCTGTTGGGTTCTGAAAGTGATGATAGCCATGCTGAACACAAGTAATATTGCATTTGTGAAGTCAAATTAACTTTCTTACTGATTTTCAAAGAACTGCCTCTAAGTGCAATGACTTCTTGGAGCCATCTGAGGTTAATGGTCCTGCACTGTGCTCCTTTCCAAACTCCTCTTTCTTTGCTTGGTCATTTTACACTGATTGCCCATTACCCAAACATTACAGAAAATGGCAGCAATAACATACAGGCAATTAACAGTTCCTGTGCTGAAGGGGAAACTCAGGTAAGCAAAAGTGAAGTAGGTAGAGATCTCTCCAAACAGTAATTTTCTGCTGATTCATGCAGCCTGTCTGAAATGATTTCTAACCAGAAACCAGTTTTGTTTTCTAATGCAAAGGCAGAAACAAACCCTAGTGAGACGTCCTGTCAGGGCATTACGTTGCTCAGGAATTAGCACATTCCTAACTTTACTATATAGCAGCTTTCCTCCAAATCATTTTTACAGTATGAAGATTTTATTTTATGGAGTCTAAGGAGAGTATATCCACTGCTCTTAGTATCACTCAGTTTCAGTGAAAAGTAAAACTATAAGACAGATGACTAAGATCTTTCCATTCTTTCTTCAGCTATTCTAAAAAGCCTTCCAAACTGGTGAATTTTCACTTAGTCTCTCACTGAGTGGGATCAAGTCAAAGGGCAGCTCCTCCACAACCCCAGGAGATAGCAGTGCTGCAAAGTCAGCACTGAGTGGGAGCTGGAGAACCTCTGTTGGATGGGAATCTGTGACATAATGGCTCAGGACTATGAGTTTGACCAACTGAGCCATACCCAAATGGACTTAGTTGGTTTTTGTTTTTTTTTTTTGGTTTTTTTTTGTTTGTTTTTTTGACAGACATAATGGAATCAAGAAATCCCAGCTACAGGTAAAAAATACCTACAGCATTTTCACAGGTGTATGTTCATGAAGACACACAAGAAAAGACTGAAAAACTTTTCTTAACTTCAGGTCCTGAAACTGACAGAGAATTGCCAGCTTTCATGAGTTCCATTTTGGCTCTGAGAACCCCATTTACACAGGGATGAGAAAATAGACATACATAGACTTAAAAATACTATGTTGCAATGGCAACATCCTCAAACTCAGTGGATAAAGAGGGTGGGATACAAATATCATGTACTTGGTTTATTTCTAGAGTGTTTTTTTTTTCTTTTTTCTTTTTTTTTTTTTTTTTTTTTAATATCAGCACATGCCAGGTAACACCAAACACCCGTTCTTTGGGCTGCTCTCTCCTATTACACCACCAGTACCTATACTTAATACAGCTGTACAAACAACTGCTTAGAGATAGAAAAATGGAACTACACCTGCAGTGTCCTGCTACGACAGCCATAACCCAAAGGTCTCACTGGAGCAGTTGTAAATGTGATCTTTTTTAATGATAACAGTGCTATGCAAAACCACTGGGGAAAAAAAAAAAAAAAAATCAAAGGAATGCTATGTGCAGAACAGCAGCTACTTGCTGAGAGCAATACAGCTCACACTTACTCTTCTATAAAGAAGTGCCAGAACTCATAACTCTTCATTCCTGGCTTGAGTTTTACTTTCTGTTACAAAAGCTGATCCTTCTCTGCTCTTCCTCAGAAGGCATCTCACATGCAAATCTTAAAAAAAAAAACCTGTCCATACTACAAACATGAAGTACATTGTGTGGGGGAGTACAGAGACATGAAAAGTTATGCTGTCAACATTACACCTGATTTCAGTAAAAACTGTCAGTCACACAAGGACAGAGAGCTCTGAAGGGCATTAAAAAACATCAGAGACCATCTGAAAGGTGCTGTGAGTTTGGAAGATTTTGTGGGGAAAAAAAAAGGGCACTGAGTCAAGGTGAGATGAGAAGTATGTAACCAGGAAAACTTGCCAATAAAAGGCACTCCTTCAGAACACAATGTTTTGTCTGACTATTTTATCAGGAAATCAATTTACAACTGCTTCTTATTACTCTGAACTGAGAACGACAGAAGGGTAAAAGCTCTACATCGAGGAGGACAGGCAGATTGTGGCAGTCTTCGTTCACTTAAGGATTAAACATTTTCTGCCTTTGTATTTAAGGGATATCCAGCCTGTTAGGTTCCTTCTTCCTTGTGGGGGTGTATTTGGTTTTGTTTTGATTTTTGAACAGTACAGTTTTGCTGTGCACACCTAATGCAGCTTTGTGTCAGTTATGCAATGATCTGGAAGCAGCCTGATCTATACAGTGATCTTTTCCATGGCCAAAAACAGAGATAGTTAGCATTGCTAGTTTAGGGCAAGCCTTTTGCAGGGAAGATGAAGAGCTTTAAATTTCAAAGGAAGAAGTTTGGTAAATAAGTCATTGCAGAAACGGACAGAAATTCACGTGCTGTTTTTCAGGGTTTGGTTCAAACTTGCAACACGTGTAAGATAGAAAAGACCTATCCTGGAAGCCAATTTGCAAAGACTGACCTTTAATGTACTTTGATCTACTTCCAATATAACCATCACGTCCCTGTATTTTTTAGTCCAGAATACTTCTAATTTTGCATGAGTTCTCTCGCAATAGGAAAATGCATTTCACTCTTCCCTTGGCTTCCTCCTCACTGCCTCAGCTTCTTTCTAGCAGCATGCCCTCTTTGTCCATTTTCATCTGTTATTCCACAGTTCAAATTCTCAAATGTGGCTCAAGTTCATAATTTTCACACAGCTCTGCTGGAGTACAGCCTTAATGTTCTTCAATACATTTCCCAACCTTCCCTGCACAGATTGAGGGACCACAGTGCCCTTAATGAGCTCCAATAAATTAGGAAAAATGCACCCTCCTACCTCTCCCAGTGCAACCAACCAAGCCCTGGAAAACCAATGGACGGCCTACAACTCCAGATAGTTCCAAATACACTAAAAATGAGTCTGTTGGTCTCAACATTTTTCTTCTTGCTTCAGCAAGTATACACTTCAGCACTTAGGTGATTTCATATTGTTCTTTTCTACTGTCAAGATGGGTCAGCATGCTTGTTTGTTAAATCTCACATTTCTTCAATATTATTTTCCCAGTAGCAGTGCCAAAAGGCTCACTCACCTCCTTGTGGGAATCCTTGTGTGCTTCCAGTGTCTTCATGATGGTCAACTCTGCGTAGTTTTTGAACCTTGCTGGCTGATTCCGTAGGATTTCTCTAAGGACTCGCAGTGCCAACGCTCGTATTGAATGCTATGTCAAGAGAAATTGTTGTTAGAGAATGTAATTTCTCAATGAAATTGCATTTTGAAGCAAATTCTCATGGCTCCCTAAGCAGTAGAAATCTTACGTAGCTCTACCAGCTCCAGTGGATCAAGCAGTGTGATCAATGGCTGAAAACAAGAATTGGTCTGCTTGCTTTCTGTTGCAGAAACATTTATGTAAAATGACTGTTCCTACTGACAGAATCAGAATGATTCTACATTTTTAAATTCCATACTCTTCTGGCAATTAAGTATAAATTCATAACCAAAACAGCATAACTGCACACGAAATTATAAAGACATTCAGATTGTATTTGATTTGTTCTTCCCATTCTGCTTAGCTCTGCAGATATCAGATTGAGCTCCATTCATGCAAAAGCTGTTTCTCATGTACTATTAAGAAGCAGCATTGATTTACTGCAGCGCCTCTGGAAATTACTTTCAAGAACAGTCAATTTTTGTAGTCACTACTGACCTGTGTGTTAATCCTTTATATATCAAAAGATCCTTAGGAGAAGGGATTTATAACACTTGCTTTACTTATACAACTGTTACCTTCAGTTTTTGGTCAGTAGCCATTCCAAATAGATCTATCATTTCAGCAGAGGAATACTTTACTCTATACTCAGCCTTCAAATTATGCCCTTTGTTATCCATCTGCAAAACTCACAGATTAGCAAACTTACCTGTACTTAAAGTCACCAAATCTTCCTACATACATGATGATGCTATGATTAAACATGTAGGACTACCAAAACTCATGTTGATTCTAAGAAAAATGATTGTGAGGAAATATCAGCCATACAGACTGCCTTAGAAAATAACTTTATTTCTGATTCTAGTTCAATTTCCTAGTTGTTACTAGACACTCAGACGGGAGCGGAGAACAGACACTACAGAGAACCTTGAAATTCGTCATGGAGTACATTAATAATGAAAGCAGAATCAATAACCTTAACAGAAAAAAAGAAAACAAGCAGCGCAGCATCACTGATGAGATGCCATAGAAATGTAACAAATTTCAGTTGAATTAATTTGCAGAACCTATCACCCTAAATAAAGCAATGCTACAAGAGAGTTAAGAAAAATCTCTATCTCACATCTTTGTCTCCAAGCGTTTCCAGGAGCAAGAGCAGAATGGTTTTGAAATGCTCCTCCCAAACTCCAAGATTATCCTCCCTTGTGATTTTCAGCAGCTCCAGGAGAGCTCCTTTCCGCTCCTCCACCCGCTCGTTGTGATTAGAGAGCTCTTTCAGAAGGTCAGCCACCAAATCTGAATGGTCAATGGGTACTTCTAGGACAAATGGAAGCGAGTCACTTGGGGAAATGGGGGAAAAGGTCAAATATGTCCATATTACAAACCTTCCATAGAACAAGTGCACAGAAAAAAAAAGACCACCCCCAAAAAGGCATCAAATCCCAAGTGGACTCTGTCAAGAGGGATAGAGGACCAGAATAGCCCTAATTTCACCTAAGTTCCTAATGCTGCTCATGAATCTGCACATGGCTAACAAACGAAGAAGAGATGATGACTGGATTTTATCCAATTCCAATAATTACTTGTACAAGAGGAGAATCACCAGTTTGTCCCAGACACACACCCAAAACCAGCAATCACATGCGTGACTTTTAGATCAAAGTACTGTGAGTCATCAATATAATGCAAAGGAATAAACTAAGGGGTGCAGCATCATTTAAATGAAGTGAAACATTCAATAACAAGCTAATGAGTCATTTAGGTTTTAGCGTAGAACATCCCTAAATAAATGTCCCTTGAAGATATATTTAATTTAGACTTTAAGGGACTAGTTTGAGGAAAACTCCAAAGGAGAAAGTAAGAGAGAACAATAACAAAAAAAATTAAAATTGCAGCAGAGCCTTCTCTCCATATCCATAAATCAAGTTCTCATGTCACACATCAGAACAGAAAATATTTCATGCCAAGCCTTGACTCACTTGCAAAGTAATACACAACATATACGTGGACAGGCATGTATCTCAGTACTGCACAAATACAAAGATATCAGGAACAGAACAAGCTGCCAACAGTTTTTAAAGATACGCTAATACAAACCATCCCGAAGCTGATCCATGTCATCATCAAAAACTGCTTCCTTGAGGGCAGTCTTGTCATAAGTGTTAATTGTGTCGGAATAAGGATAGGGGTTATACTCTCGAGCTCGTGGCCCTGAAAAGGCGCGGGGTGGCTGTGTGTTAAGTAGGGAGGTTTTGTTATCTAGAGCCATCCTTCCTCCTTCTACAGTATCACTGCCTCCTCGGACATCACTGGTAGGTACTGCAAGGCCACCATCTCGAGACACCTGGAGATCAAATACAGAAAAGGCATAAGACCACTCCAAGGCTACAACTTCCACAGAATTTGAGTTCACCCATCAACAGGATCACATCCATTAATTTTGTGTAGAATTCTTTATATACACATAATACTTAGACCGCCTCTTAATTTAGGTAACAAAAGTATCTCATGATCATAGGGCAAAAAGCTATGCTAACATTTCTAAACAGAAATATTTCTAAAACTGCAAAGGCTAAGAAAAAAATCAAACAAGGAACAGGACCAATCTGCTAATAAGTCAAAGGAAGGAAGGAAAAGCAACATCGTTCTCACAAATGATGCTTAGAACACTAATGTGAAATAGACAACAGCAGAGTCCCAAAGAAAAACATCAGATTACCAAGAATTCTAGCTTCTGAGACTAACAGTCTACACTTGTTTATCCACACAGGAAACAAAAATACTGCTTAATTCACAGATTTTGAATTTCACGTACTTCATTAAAACAAATGGCATCTCACATGTCACAACAACCTCTAGGACCTCAGTGTCTTTCTTGTTGTGAGAGGTTCAAATGTTGAAGCGTTAGAAACAATTGAGAATAAAACAGTTACAGGAAAAATCCAGTTACCAAAAGCAACTGGATTTTGTACGTTAGTTAACATTCCAAAGCCAGGCTTGAAAACCATAAAAGTTTCACATATCTCCAAGTATTAATCAAACCAAACACTTACCATGTCACAGTCTTTCTTCCCATCACGTTTGATTGGTTCATTCAGGTCCTCTTGACTACGAAAACTAAACTTTTCAATTGCTTCTGTGACTCCACGAAGAGAGCTGTAGATTTCATCAGAATTTAGGTTCTCCGTGTCATAATCCAGCATACTAAAGACGAAACGTATATGAAATGTTACACACAAAATTGGGATCAACTTTTGACTTAACAAATATACATCAAGTTGGAAACAGATGATTTGGTGTATCATTTCTAACAGAGACTTTTAACGAAACATGAATGGAATTCAAAGCAGACTTCAGGTCTGAGTCTCCTAGATTTATCCCAGTCTGAGAGGAGGAGCTCAACTGAATGAAGTGGTACGATATTGCCGCAATTGAGGAGAAATCAGGTCCAGTGTTTATAACATTCCAAAGCAGTGAATGTGGTAGCTTCTATCAACAAAATATCCTGCCCCCATAAAGGTAATGGTGTTCATACAAAAGAAAAATAATCACTATGAGAACTCAAAGGGTTCTGACAGCTAGTGGATGTGAAATCAACAAAATTTAAGCTCCATAATATGTAAAATATATTCTGTCCATGAACTGAAATGCAGTAGATTTAAACAGAAATGAAAATGTATCTTGACATAAAGCTTTGTCTATCATATTCCAGTTTTCGTTTATAAAGTAGTAAAAACAAAACCACTTGCAAGAAGCCTTGAAAAAAATAAGATGCATTTCAGTAATGAGCCTTAATTTGAGAATTCTCTCACTCAAATCAAATGCTTTGTTGCGGTGAGTCTGTTTTTCAGAAATTCTTCAGGAGTATAAAGCTTAAGAGTTATCCAAAATTAAGTACTATGAGAAAAATGACCAGCAGGCAAGGGCAGATGATAGAGGGAAAAAAAAAAGATAAAAAGATGTAGCGAGGGCAAGAAGGTCCTGAATGCCTTAAGGAAATTAAAAGACAGTATTGGCAAGATTTTGCCCTATCCAGACAGAAGTTCAATCTGCATGACAGCTTTCCAAGACAGATTTAAAGAAGAGACCCCAGTAACTGAGAGGAATTTCTCTGGGGGAGTCTCAGATCTTAGCAAAGCCAGAAGCAAAAAACTCAAAGGAATTTAAGATATTTACATCAAGTTGTTAGTCAATAAGTGGTAAGCAGCAGCTCCCTTCAATTATCAATTTCTATTTCTTAACAATTTGTGAAGGATGACAGGATGGCCTTGGAGGAAGATGGCTGAACAAAGAGTAGTGTTGCTTTCCTACAAAAGAACAATCACTTGTGAGGTGGTAAGAAAACTGATACAGTAATAATAGAAAATCTCTTTTGAATCCTGGGTACACAGTCATTATTTTCAGTACAACTAAAAGTAGGATGTTTGTTATCTGGAACTACCACTTCTCTGTCTGAAGTTCCTTGAGAACTTCAGACAAAGGATAAAACTTGTGTTAATCCCAAAAGATTTGGACAACACACTGAAAATTGCCATAATCCCTGGCTCCAAGCAACGCTATCACCCTGCAGGCACACAAGCACCAGCACAATGCACTCTGGCAAAGAAAACAAAGCATTGCTCCCTGACTTTAAATGGTGTCCATCCAGCCAGGCCTGGCTAAAAAGAAGTCACCACTGAAACAACAGACCTAAACCAGGAAACAAAAGCTGTGCATAAACCTATAAAAGAAAGAATATTTAGGATCTTCCAGATAACTGAATGACATCATTGCTTTCCAGACTCCCCAGAAAAGTAAAAGCAGTTTTAAAATTCTTTGTAAGTATCAGTAATAGAAAAGACAAGCTTTGCTCCGTACCATCTTGAAAGTATCAGTCGTGTGTTCAAGCATGATTAATCCATACATCTTACAAGCTTCTTCAAGTGAGCAATGGAAGAGCCATTACTAGACAGTATATATTGATCGTAACAGCGTACTCACACTAAGAGATGAAATGACTTACCAAAGGTCACACAATGAAATCCATGGAGAAAGAAAATTAAGATTAAAAAAAAAAAAAATAAATCGACAAACAGTCCCAGATATACTGACATTAAATCTGCCCAAATCTCTGTTTCTTTCCTCAGGAATGAATTTTGACCAATGCTGCTCCCAAAGAACACATCAATGCACATATTCTACAGTGCAAAATGATTGCAGCTATTTATGAACAAAGAACCACTAAAACTGAGGTGTTTTTCAAAACACAAAACCACCTTTTACTAAAATCTGGAGAATCCAGTGATTTCATATGTCAAGAGTAAGCCCGTGTAAGAAATCACATTATGGTTGTGACAAAACGTTACATGTAAACACACATATCTACTGACAGTATGTGTGCTGGAATAATTCACAGACAACGTGATGGAGAAAATAAAATGAACCTAAACCCCCCTTTGGGGGGAAAAAAAAAAAAAACAGCACAAAAAAAAAGCAACCAATCAAGAAAACTAGAGGAAAGTCACAGGATGAAATAAGAGTAGAGATGAGCAGTGTTCAGGGATGTCACAGCATTATTTTCCATCTTCCGTCGCACTGAAACAATACAGCCCTCCACAAGCTTATCAAAATAAAATTTGGCTGTTTTGCAGTCTGTCATAAAGATTTTATTTTCATGAACTTTTATTCATTTTCCAATCCAAACTATGTGTGAGTAAGTAACAGTTGAGCATCCTCAAGCAGTACACAGGGTTTCTTGCACTTTCATGCTCTGGGCTGGAATTATTCCCAAGCTCAATGCTGACTAATGAAAGGAGGAAAACATTGTTCTCAACTAGCATAACCCCCATACCCCAGTCCAAATTAACATTAACCTCTTCCACAGATTTCTCAGATGGTCCTAGAACCTGAATATTGATTTCATGCTTTACATCCTCTGCTGTTCACAGGGATGCAGAATGTGTGATTCTATTTTCTATCTCAGTTGTCACAGACTCCCAGATTTTCAGGTTTCCAAGAACTATTCGTTTGGTTTTGCCTCAACGGCTTCCAGTTAGGAACTTCTTTCGCCCTTCTTCAAGTGAGACTCACACTTAAGTCCAAATAAATCACATCCACAGAAAGCCTGCTGATAGGGCTTAAACTTCATAATAATCCGAGTAATCTAACAGACATCTGGCAAATTAAATTTGGTTTTTGATCAAAACAAGTATGCAGTTTTAGTTTCGTACACAGGTTCAATATCTACAAACAGATAGAAATAAAATGTGAGTGTACAAGAGGAGGAATAGCGACCAAAATTAACTGCCAATCCCTTAAATCTTGCGGGAAGGACACATAATACAGTTAATTTCAATACTACACAGTTCTAAGATGTTCCACGATCCTCACACAAACAGCTGGTGAATCACATACACACCACCCTCACTGGCCGCCAGATACTACTGCAGATGGGAAATCACTGTCACAACAAGTGCATACAGAAAGTGCTCAACAATTGTGTTCTGCATTCAGGAAACCCAGCAGGGAGAAATTAATTTGGAAGAATTCACTTTGTTTTTCCACTGGCGTGCCACATCTCCCTCACAAAGAGAGCAGTGGCTGATTCATCTCCCCAGTCTGAGAACTAACATCATCCCAATTTCTTTTTCAATCGAAGCTTTTGGAAATCATTTCCCATGCTTGAACAAATTATAAAGTATGAAAGGTAAATAGTACTGTGACATCTCAGACAAGTTGGTTTAACAGGTAGCTTGTTACCTGGGAGAATAAGAGCGTCTGAAAGTCTTGTGGGAAGGAGCGGTGGGGATGGAGTTAGGCTGAGAAAGGGGAGGGGGGTGCTTCGACAGCCCATCTGCACTCCAACCCCAGAACCGACTGCAGTGATCAGAGAAACGAAAGAGAAAAACAGAGAAAGGAGAGGGAGAAAAAAAAGAAACTATAATCTGAGTGGCATAGTGCTGTCATGCTGCCTTGAAGAGAGAAAGAAAATTAATAGGAACGAAATTAAACAAGAATACTCCACTGAGCCCCTTAAGTCATTGCTTTGGCCTTTATTTTCACTTTTTTCTACCATAAAGATACGGCTCACACAAAAATAGTCTCTCTTAAATCGCACAAATAGATATAGTCTCTATAAACAACACTTAAAATGCTTCAAGTGAACAATCCCTGACCAAACATCTGTATCCAAATTCTATGCAGGTATTTGCAAGCAACAGAATTTCCTGAAAGATAAGAGAGCTGAAACTGAACTTCATGAAATAAATGAAAATCAGTCCAGAGCACACATGAGTCAGGTAAACCAGGGGCTTGTTTTGTCTCTGCAAACAACCTGGAAAGACTGAATGAAAACCCAGCCTCAAACTCAGTTCGTATTTCTCTTGAAACCTTTACAGGGGCCTCTTAGTTACCATCTGGCACTGCACCTTTGGTCAAGGCAACCAAATCTGTCTGAATGTGTTTAGTTTTTACTTTTGCCTTGTTCCCTTTCTGTCACTGGAATTATCAAAATCATCTTCTAAACAATACAAATGTTTGAGCTCGTGGAATATTCAGCGTGCCAGTTTGTTTCTACTAAAATTAAGCATACTTGTCTCAGAGAGTCACATGAGTATACACAAGTGAAAGATGCTACAAGATCAGATGTGGCCAACAGGTTGAGAGTTGCTTCAGCACAAACAGCAGCAATGCCAGTTGAAAACTCATCTGAAGTGTGATGACAAATTCACGTGTTAACCAGCAATCAAAACCATAGCTATTACATTCAACTACTACAGAAACGCACCAGACATTCAGAACGCTGAACAAAAATCTCACAGCTCAAGATCACACCTACCTGCCAATGGGCTACTGAATAATGCAGGCTTGTCTTTATTGTATAAGGTGGGTGGTTTAATTCTTTTTCCATGTCCTGCCTCGCTCAATTTAATATAGATGTCATTAAAGTTTATTTTAACGGTATTTTTTTTATTTTCAGTGAAAAAGCAAGCATATAAAGCTTTCAAGGCCAAATAAAGCTATCGGCATTTTTTTTCCCCAACTATGCACAAGTTTCTGGGCTGCTAATAGAGGCAAACTTATCCATTTGATATAATTCCTTCAAATATTCCTAATGGATTGTCAGTGAAAATTCACAACCTGTATGTGGCATCTGAGCTCACAGAGGACGGTTTTTTATTCAAAATAGCATTCACACACTGGAGGAATTCTTAGCTTAGTATTTTTCCTCTTGCTGTACTACATCTCTAAACCTGCAATTTTCTCCATCCAACACAAACACAAGCCATTCATCTGTGCATTGCCCAGGAAACAGTCATTATTCTTACTCAGAAATGTTTTTTTTCCCTATCGTTTCAGTTTTCCCAATTGCCTTCCTTTCTTTTCTTCTCCAGAAAGATCTCTCTTGCTCTGTAACTTCCCTCCCAAAAAGCTATCTGGACAACAAAAGTAGGTACAATTGCAGAAACAACTCACAGATGCAGTGGATGTATTCTAGTCATCACAAAAGCAGAACAGGATGGAGCAAATGAAAGCATAAGGAAGGGCTCTGTCCAAAGCCCCATGCTATGCTTCTGAAGACACTAATATACATATATATTTATATTTCTAGGCAATCCAAACTATCCTTTCTACATGGAAGATTAGATATCCATGCCCCCAAAATACGCATGGCTCTAAATACGACTCTTCCAATCTGTGTATCAAGAGAAAATTCAAAGGAAAATAAAACCTTCAAGCCAATACTGGCACTAAGAACTGGAGATAATCTCTCGACTCGACTGCACTCAAGTTTCCTATAAAAGGCAGAGGCACGGACAGGGCAAGCAGGCAACAGTGCACCACACAGACAACCTTGCTACACTTTGGGAATGGGTCCAGCAGAAGGTATGATCAAAACCTGGTTCAAAGAAGGGCTCTACAGTGAAACAGTGATAACTTCATCCTTTTAGATCGCTACCAGAATGACTTGGGTCTGCTAGTTCTTCAAGTTTGTAGACATAAAAGTCGCATTCTACACTGTAAGCTGAATTGCAAACCACAAGTACTTATAATGGAAAGATGACATAGAATCATCTACACCAACATCATATTGGTATACCACAACGTACCCTACTCACAACATGTTAGTCTGCACATCTTCCAAAGCCTTTTCTTCTTAAAGAACAACCATACAATTTCCAAAAACAGAACTGAGTTCCCCTTTGTTCAGTAAGTCATGACCTCAAAGTGTGCTGCATCAGACACAGTGATGCACTACTGCCACTGATTTGTAACACTTGCCACCGCCTCTTCTACAGGTGGTAAAAATCTGCAGCTATTGCTATTGCCCATAGGTTACAAAAAAGGTGGATAACTGATTAGTTTAAATGGCTTTTAAAGCAGCTTGCACCTTCACCCACCACTGAACAGTAATTATTACATAGTCTTACCTAAATCCAGCAACGAATCAAGACAGATTAATTGAAAAGGCACCTAAACTTTAGGGTCAACAACTTCAAGAATTCCATGGAAAATCAAAGGAATTATTGATTTTAAAAGGACATTCCTGGATCAGAATACCAGTAACAATTTTGGTCTTCACAACTTAATGGCAGAATGTTCTAGAATTAAATGTCCTCTCTAACCATTCCTTCAGAACATAGTCCATGTAATAAACTCTCCAGTTGCTAACCCCCAAAAGCTTGGAAAGAGCAACATTAAATTGAGTAGATGATGGAAGCTTTAATCTGCATCTTGATATGTATAACCTGACATCAAGACGTAATAAACACATAAAGCTAAACAGAATAGCAGTGAGTGAAGAGGAAAAACAAGTCGTGTTACAGTGGCAAAGCCCAAAAAGCATGGCAAAAGATCATAAATTTACAAAAAAGATGCCACATGCAAGTGTGACTCGCAAAGTTTCAACGTAACCATCAGGAGATATAATCTGTTTGTAATTCCAGTGACAAATATCAATCAGGAGAGCAACAATACTCAAGTTAGTAGAAAAGGAAGCAACACTGTTGGAACCATTCCCCTGAAACTCTATCACTTAATTTCTTAATGGAACCATTGTTGAAAAGCCTCATAATAGGCAACTTGACCTTGACTTGCAAACTTTCAGTCTGGTTTTGGATTACATCAGATTTAGGATTACAAAGATTTATTCAGATACTCAGGATTTCCTCAGGAAACTTTATGTGGTCCCCATACACTGCTGGAATAGTCTAACTACTTCATTAAAAGCAAACAACCTGTGTTTTTCTGACACATGGAAGTGCTAAGCATCCCCCACGGATACTGTCTAGCAAGTCATGACAAGGCTGATTAACAGATTTCAGTGTAAATTACTAAACTGGACTGTGAATTGCCATCCTTGCACAGTATGTTTCCTTTTGCTTCTGCTTCAGCCACAGCAAAGTGACTTCTCATAATGAGGCAGGGCATTTAAGCTTTCCCAGCATGAATCATCAAAGCATGACCAGGTAACAATCTAATACTTCCCATATTTCTAAGGTCCCAGAGCACACTGTATACATGCATATCATCTCTGCTCTAAGTTTTTCTTGTACAAAAAAAAAAAAAAAATTTCAGCACACAGAAGTTCATGTACACAGAATAGAAGGTTTTGGAGAGGACTAATATATTCTAGGGTAGCACCTGCAGCTTCAGTAAGATACCTGATTGCAACAGACATACTGCCCAAAGGATCAGGATGCTGTTCTACTGGTAACCAAGGAGGGAGGAGATTTGTGAGGTGCTCAGCACTGAAATACAGTCACAACCTGTATTTTGCATCCTCACAAAGCATAAAAGAGGAACAGGGGAAGTTCAGCATTTTTCTCTGCAGTGCAAGCACTGCAACAGTCAAATAAATTACTGAACATAACAGCACACCCAAAAAACAGACAACTGAAACCCTTGACTTGAAAGTCTTACATTCTTTGTGGTATTTGTAACCTACACAACACCTCATCACTAATGCTGCCATTTAGTATTACCTTTATTAAATCCACAAATGTGATTCTGGAGAAGGCCTGGTTATGAAAGAATTAATATAAGAACAGACATTGAGATTACGCAGATCAACATGAGGTCAATCACCAACCATGTACTATCATGTTTGAAGCCTGCTCCTTTGGAACAGTTTACTGTAAACTTCTGATCTCTAGTTTGTTTTTAAAGTGAGTCATATTTTGCATTATGCATGCTCAGTGTTGAAATCCTTTAAGTGGTTTAATTAACCTGCCACATTACCTTGGAGACAGCCCACCATGGGAACAGTTGGTAGGTGAAGTCAAGGGGCTGGTTCTGCTGCTGGAGTGCCGAGAAGGAGTCCTACCAAGAGTATTGCTGGGGGAACCCTGGCATACAAACAGGAAAACAGGGATTAGCAACATGTTGCAACACAAGAACAGGAGGACACAACAACAGCAACAGCTTCAAACACTGCCTTTGTGCTAGACAAGCTTGGCATAGTTTTCACTCTTGCTCTTGACCCAAAAATCTGCAGCCATGGTTCATGTAGTCAGTAATGTATTCTTAATGATACTGTGCTCAGAGGATGAAGAAGCACACATGTACCTCTCTACTATTCATAGAACCAGCAGTTTTAACTTTGCAGCATGTATGGCCTGCAAATACTGCCAGGAAAATGGTTTATCAATTCACCAAACTACCCAGTTTCTCAAACACTATTTTTTCAGCTCCAGAGCACGCAGACCATTACTCTGTCAATTTAGCAACTTAATTATGCAGCTATTTTACACATTGTCTAAAGCATTCTGATGGCTTACGATCTTAACAAGCACAATCAATTAACTTATTTTTCCACTGGCCTGCATAATAATTCATACCACAGGAAAAATGAGTAGAAACCATTCCCAAATCTGACTCACTCCACAGAGAGGAAGATAAACGAGGTGGAAGGGACTAGAGAATCCAGTCCTTCCCCTTGGAAGCCTAATGCTGCAATTCGAGTTTACACAAAGGTCTACCATTGCTATGGAAGGGCAAAGATGAGAAGGTTCAAATTCCAGCAAACTTCACAAGATTTCCGTGCACAGAAAAAAAAAAAAGGCAAAAAACCCACACCCCTAAAAACTCGTTGTTGCTGAGGGGAAAAAAAATGTTTGGAAGCAAACTACATCTCCATTAACATTCTCTCAAATTATATATGCAAGCACTATATTAAAAATAACTGAATTATTTGTTTTAACAGACTCATTAAAGTAACATCGAACAGAAACCTCTGCTGATACACTGTTTCAAGACAACAGCTACTGATAGTGCATGCTACTGGACATCTGCAATAGCTTTTCAACGAGCTGCAGTCTTTGAGGTTCTGCTGTTTGCAAGAACATGGGCCTCTCACCACACTGGTGTTACTGGAGTTCTTGAGGTGGTTGTGCAGGAGCTTGGTAGCACCATCCTGGAAAGTTTTTGGCAAGGCACCAAGTAACATGGTAAACTCGGGAGTGTTCAGTTCAAAGAGAGAAATCAGGACTATTTGTGCTGCCTGAAAAGAAGAAAACAATGTTAGTTTCTATTTCAAGTACACAATTTGTTGGTAACAATTCTTATGGCAAATTATACAACACCCACTTCAGAAGATTCCCATGTTCAGCTTCTAACACATACCTTGCAGTGCGTCACAAGGAATTACTGTTAGAGTTACACCTTCTTAGCTTCAAGCTTACAACACACCATTATGCCATTTCTCAGATCTGTACAGTGTGCTCAGGTGTACTATCCCACAGCAAGTGAGAAAATCTAAACAATCTCCCATCCAGCATGTATTTCCATTGAAAAGTTACTGCAAAAAATTTCAAGAACCAAAAACCAAGAGTTCAGATAACAAAGAATCTGGGACTGCAATTTGTCATTCCCATACTTGCTACCTTGAAGTGAAAAAGAGACTAGTCCCTTTCCCACACAACCTCTCCTCCTCTTAAGGATCCAATAAATTCGTTTCATCAGACAATCCCTGATCCTGCTTTCTCACTTCATGTTTCACTGCTGTGACTGTTGAGCAGCTCAAGCTTCTGGCTCAACTGGAAGACCTATCAGGATGGTGAGAAGAATCTTTCCCTAATCCTTGTACAGGTTAAACCCAACCAGATTCCCTGAATTCACTAAGTAAAACAAAACAACTGACCATTTCACTGGAAAATGTTTTAACCTATCTACCTAGAAGACTGGCTGCCAGAGTAAGTTCTCCACTAACTCCATTAGTAAATGTACACTATATTGAAAAGATACGAAGATACAACATAAAAACTCATTCCAAGAACAGTCAAAATAAAGCAACAGTGAAGAACTCCTGATGATTTGCAGCACCATCTTCTCCAGCCAGTGTCGTTGTCATACCGATCTCCAGAATACTTATCTGGATACAAAAGCACTAGCTTAGATTAACAAAGAAATGAAGCTATGTGAGTTTTTATTTTGGAACAGCATACATGCTTAGGAAGAGCAGACACTTCTGTCTTTCATTTTGGGAATTTTCCAAGACTTCCTAAGAATGAAAAATAATTTTAAAGAGGGCAAAAATATAATTCACTATTGTGGTAATAACTGTACATTCATTGTTCTCATCAACTCAAAGGAAAAGGAGCTTTTAGTAAATAATGCATCTATAAAGTTGTGATAATTAAGTGTATCTGCAGTTCCCTCTGAAGTGGAATCCATTATCAGATGATGAACCTGGGTACACAGAAACCCTTTCAGGGTGGAGAAGCATCAAAGTACCTCATTGTTTCAGTATGCAAATTGCAGTTTGAGCTACACTGATCCTTTTACTCATCTGGTCAACTTGCAATAACACAGCTTTACTTATAAGAAAACATTTTCCACCTGTAGATTTCAAAGTTTATTAATATCCTTTTCATATAGCCAACAAAGAAATTGAGGCACACAACACCCAATGGGCTTTCTTTCCATGGACTGCAATGAACAGGTCTTCAGACTCTTCGTTTCATACAGGTCATGCTGCATTCTACCAAAATCCCATTGACTTGAACAGAAACACAGCATGTCATCATTCACTTCACACTTAATTCTAAGGATGAGAAGTTGGGAGATAATTTTTTCCCCATGGCTTTCTTAGCTCCAGACTCAACTGTCCTTTGGCCTGAGTTTTGGGCAACTCTGTCATGAAGTTTGCAAGGTATCCAACTGGCATCTGTATTTCTGTCAAGTTTTGATCCAACAAGTTTCTGTAATGAAAATATTACTACAAACAAAATCTCAGATCAGCATGTTGAACCAAATGCAAAGTGACAAATCATGCCAAAGTACATTCCCAGTTGTGAATGCCATGCACATCCTGGACTGTTAGGAAATGGACATGCAGATCTTCTGTGTCAGAACAAGCAGATCACATGTTCACAAGGATCAGAAAAACAGGAAAACTGATCAAGAAGGTTCCCAGGTTTAAAGATTGCTCAAAAACTAGAATATCTGGAGATATTCTAGCAGTCGGGTGCTGCCCAAGGTACAGTGAGGCAGGAAAGGATTCAAGATACCTTTGGTTCCACACATCTCTCATCGATGGGTTAAAAAAAGACCATCCTTGGAAAACTCCTGTGTAAAAACAGCAAAAAAGGCACAAAAGTATGTGCACTCCAACACACGTTATTTCTGAAGTTATCTTTCTTGTCATATGCCAGAGGTGTAGCCACATCTCATCTCTGAGCAAAAACTTCACCAAAGCTCCGTCTGGGACTATGTGACACCCTGAGGCTTTACTTTAAAGCAGAGCATTACCTAAAACTTACAGCTGAATACTGATAGCTCAGCTGCTTTACTGCAGGAGTATCTGGAAGAAGTACTAGCTCCCTGAAATCACTTCAGTTTCATTTTAGTTTTCTGCGCTGGCTTTAATGAAAGCAGATCTCTGTCCACACTCCCTCTTTGCACAGACTACAGTTTGTTTTTAGAAATGTTTGCTAGTCTGCCAGTATTTTGTGTACACTGTGCTCTTCAGCAGCTTTGTTATTGCCCGCAAGTAGGTCACTGGGCTTTGAATGGAGGATTGAGCAGCCGCTCACAATGCTGGTACTCTTATGAGGCCCAAAAGAAAGCAGACCTACAGTCTACATTATTTGAAAAAAAGCCAAGTATTACTTACAGCCTGAGTGATGCTCCAGCAAAGCTCTCAAAAACAGCACTAGAGTTACGTGGGTTAATCTTGGCTGTGTTGCTTTTAAGTAGCCCTCATCCAGTATATACTTAGTCAAAGTTTTGGTTTTTTTCCCTAACTAATTCTTTTGAGCTTTAAAATCTGTGGATTTTCAGCCTGTGACAGATTATAGAACGTTTTTATAACCATTGGTTATTTCCAAAAATCTTGGTGCTTGTTTCATTACATTACTAAATAGGTAGAGAAAAACAGTCAATAACAAATTTCTGAACACAGCATCCTCCATGCAGCACGTGTGCCTGATGATACATAATTAGAACAATTTTCCTCTGCCTTTGTATCCCCATCCCATTAATGTGGAATGCTAATCCATCTCCTATCAGTGACAAATAACATAGACTCTATAGATGACCTAATCTTAACCAGGCAGTTCTCTGCTAGCTTGAGCTAGAGAAACTCCAGTCAATTCAGAGCCTGTCTGCTAGTGAGGGGGTCTGGCTCCACGTCAGCTTGCCGAATCATTTGCGAAGGGCTGCTTATGTAACTTTGTTATTTTCCTTAGAACAATGCAGCAGGGGATCAGGTTCCACCAGCTGGCAACAGCTCCCCACATCTCATACTTATGCCAATGCAGAAGTCATGCTGCCTAACCGCCAGCTGCTCAATGGACACAAGTGCTTTAGCAACTTGATGGGGGTGGTTTTTTGATTTGTTTATCAGAATCTAGTAACCTCCGCAAATCAGTTGAAACATTAAAGACTCTGAAGTAATTTGGGCTTATTAAGCAAAAAACATCAGACTAACTAACTGGAGAAATGTTAAGGGAAAATAGTCAGTGCCCTAAACTTAATACCAGTGCCTGGTGATTGCTGCTGCAGCTGGTCTGTAACTACCAAGCAGAATAAGCAGCTACCTGCCTGAACTACCTAAAAACAGTTTTCAAGTTATTCAAAACCTATAGTGGTGATGAGCTCACTACATTGTGACCTCCATAAATGGAGAGAACCCCTAACTCTGTTTCAGAGACACAAAAACAGGGGTTAACAGAAAAGCAGAAAGCCAAAAATTATTTCACACGCAGACACTTTTTTAGGCCCCCAGTCAAGGCCTCTTTACACAGCTAGACAGTGGCAACTGCAAACAAGATTAGTGTGATTAGTGCACACAGCTTTTAGTCTACCTGTTTACATTTTTCTTCCAAGTTTCCTTCACCGGGCCCTGAGGAAGCTGTAGTTGTCCTAGCTGGCAAATCCTCACCTACCCAACTATGCATGGTCTGGGTTTGACAAACAGGAAAGGTGGTATTATTAAGAGAAGGCACAGTTTTCAACTAAACCATCTGAACAGTACACATGCTATCTTTTTGCAGATGAGTTTAATCAGTGGCTTGCCTTACTTGAAAATGCAAAAAGCATTAATATTTGATTCAACCAAAAAAGCATTCCTTTCAGCAGAGGGCAGCACTGAAAAATTAAATTCAGCCACAACTCTCATCCATACATATCATCCCTCAGTGCTGCTGCGAGGCTTTGTTTTGGCAGCTTCCTGATGACCTCCACAACAACTTGAGGTACAGAGCCCCAGCAAAACACCGGACTGAGATGGCACCAAGGTGACATGGGATCTGGCATCTGCCCACACCCATCCTTGTGGATGCATCTCTCAGGAAGAAGGAAGAGAGGAAGAAACAGCTGAGAACTTGCAAGCTCCTGACTCCAGTCTGGTTGTTGTCTAATAGACCATCATTAGCTACAGATGCCTTTTGGAATACTGGTGTGGAATGATGACCAAAAATCATAAAACCATGACAATGATGAGATTGGCCTGGGGAAGTCCCAAAGCCAACTTCTGACAATTATAATTACACTCTACACGCACTATTCATTTCACCATCCAGTCTAAGGCAAACGCATTAATAACTTAAGGCAGACTGGAACAGAGAAACACTCTCTCACATCCCTTGGAATTATACTGCAGATCCAGTACAGATCCACAGAGATGGGGAGGCATCAGTGACACATTAAGCAGCTTGCATTAGCACGCACTGGCACAGGACAACGTTTTGATTCTCCGATGAGCAGAGCTGATGCTGAGTTAATTCACATCCACGGAGAGTGTTTACAGCCTCTAAACAAGTGTTATTCTCTGTATTTTCCAGCAGACAGTTAAGTGTTAGCTGGCACTAGACAAACAAGCTATCTGCCAAACCAAACCTCCTCCTTGTTCTTTTGTGAGACTATAATCAGATGAATATAGACATCCACATCACTAATACAGTACTGTGACACAATGGCTTCATCAATTTGTACATAACTCAATTTTCCCATGATTTATATTAGAATATGCTCTTTATATCTGCATCCTAAAAAGGAAGA